AAGAAATGTGAAGAAATCTGAGATGCTGTTTGTGTATCTGAGGTCAGGGAAGATAAACAGTGTTTTTCTCTCAATTATATGTTATGAATAATTATTATAAAGATAGTATGGGATTAAAAAAATATTGCAATGATGGACTTCAACGAATGACTAACGAAAGGGAGCAAATCTTTTACGCAAAACAAAGTACAGAGTGTCTTTATCGTACAGGGGTGCCTTTGTAATTTACCTAAAAAAAAGAAGATAAAGGGTAAAATTTAATATGTATGTGAAATGGTCTTATAAGTAATTATCTCATTTCTTTATTATCCTATTTTAGCCACATAACGAGGATAACCCTCCCCATATCCCCAACCCCACAACTAAATTCAGATTCCGTCAATGCAGTGCTACTCTCACAGTTCGAGCAACCGCTTGCAACGTTGTTCCCATGTACGGAAATATTTCCAATCTAAGGCTGTAAACACTGTTGAAACGGGCTTTGCCCTCACCGAAGTTGGATTCTCCACAACCCTAACAATCCAGTGGCACTTATTTAAAGATTTTAATTGCAGACTGTGAAAACAAAATTGATTTTTTTTTTACTTATTTAAAAGCAAAAGGTATAATCATTCATTATTAAAATTGACAATGGCAAATAAATCTTTAGTTTTTCTTCTTTTTTTTTGTTCGTATGTAATACCGATTATTGTTTTTGTTCATTCCAATGGAACACGAGTTAATATACCAACAGTTAAAGATAAATTAAAACGCTGATTTTTTATAAATCAAAAGCACAATAAACGTGTTCAGAAGCAACCTCAGTCACATGGGTTAGGGAATTATTAGGAATTGGTTGGGTGGCCACTTACGAAGGAATTGTCTAATTATCAAATTGATGGAGCCATTAAATAACAGTACGAAGCATGGTTTTCAGAACCTGATCGGACCGGAAAACTGGGAGTCAGTCAGGTAATTGAGCCATTTGACCAGGAACTGATCCTAGAACGATTCCGTGTCTAATTTTAAAAACCTTATTACGAAGGGCATCGAGTTAAATATAAATATGCTTGAGAATTTAAAACTCATGAAGACATTAAGTTTTAGTATTTACAATTACTCCAAATTATTGAAGCCAATATTCATTTGACAAGGCGTTATTTTTTATGTTTTTTGAAACGTCGCTGATTCAGATTGTCGGACCGTTCAGTCAAGAAATCGTTTAGGCAACCAATTTCATTTCACCTTTCGATCAGTCTTTTGCCAAAAACTGTTGGTTTTGGTCAGCAATCAATTGACCTAGGCGATTGATAATGGATTTTGGCATTTTTTTTGTTTTAATTATTTTTTATTTTTAAGTTACAATGGATCATCAGTTCAAATCGAATGGTCAAACCATTTACCCAAAAACCAGAAGTCAAGTAGGTGTTTGGCATCGGTGCTGGGCATGTAGAATTGTAAAATGGTACTTGTTTTTTGTTCGGAACGAATGTTGCCATATAGGTGTTTTCTGAGAAAACAACACTGGTTTTGTTTGGTACCAATGCTAGCAGCAACGTTTTTCAACATTGATCTATATTATCCAACGTCCAAAGTGATGCCACATCATTGCACCGCTGGCAGTAATGTGCCATTTTCTCAGAAAATATTGAATTTGGTGTTGCTCCAGACCACACTTTCCCATGTAGTCTGAAACAACATTTTTTCTAGAAAAATAATACCAAACAAGAAGACATTGTTTGAGACACCACTTTCTCTGATGTGGTGTCATTTTCTCAGAAAATGGCATCGATGCCAAACATTGGCCAAAGAGATTCCAGTTCCAAATCAATTTTAAAGCATTGATATTTGGGTAAAAGACAAAAACATCCCCTGAAGTTTCTAACAATCATAAAAACCTCTCCTATAGTTTCAATTTAGCAAAAGTCTGCCCTAGATTTTTAAAGAATGCAACAAAAACCTCCCTTCCGTTTATGATCAAGATGAAAAATGTTAAAGCGATGAATCAATTTTTCCAAAATACCTATATTACTCATTTACAAATTAGTTTGTATCTATTTCATTGAAATACCCCTATTAGCATGTTATCCTCTCTACCCTCTTTTCCTATCCCAGTTTATCGAGTCTGAAGAGATGGAACTCAACACACAATCTCACATCTAAACTTCATTGATTTAAGGAGGAACACAACGTGCACCTCTTCATCTCCATGACTGTCAACAGCCCAAGGCCAATAGAATTTAAATTTGAATTAGCAACTAAAGCACTCTTACCTGTAACAAGAATGGTCAATCATGGGGCGATAACAAGCATCTCAGGTCGGTCAATCACCTTGGAAGGACGTCCCCTCTGTTGGAAACACAAAACACAATGATATGATTTCCCATGCTAATTTCGTCCCTTAGTTTCTTGTACACTTGCTTGAAAATTGTTGGATTTTAATCTCATAAGAGATTAAATCCAATGGGTTTGATTGGTCAATTACATGAGAAATTGCACCTGCACACTTGTTTTGAAATTAGTTTTTCTCTTACAAAACCCAGTTTTGAACTTGTCCCACATTGATTAATTATAAGCTTTGTTTTCAGTATTTTAATAAGAGCTTATTTACACTCCTTAGAAATAGTAGAGGAGAGTATGGRGGTTTGATACCGCACAATGTGCACGCACGCGTGTGCGCAGCGCAATGAGGTGCTTTAGAGGCACACTTTGCTCGCACCTGTGTGACTCGCGAAGGGCGACTTTGGTTTTGGTGTGATGCTGACCGTTGATCACCGTTGATGGTTACAATTCGATCAGGTGTGATCAAGAGACACAATTCAAAGTTAACAGTCATTAACTGTTAAATACCTTTTAAACAGTCACAATGTTTGAAATTGTGGTTATTCAATGTGCCTTCTTTGAACCAACACCTACCTTTTCTTCATAACTCTTCATAAACTATTTAAGGAGCATGAATCATATTTCAAAAACACACATTTTCAAAATTCACTAACTCTCTCTCTCTCTCTCTCACTCAGTCCGGTCTACTACAGTCTCATAGAAGGTTTGTTCAGAGATTCTTCAATTTTGCTAATTGTAGATTCTCGCCCAAGGCTCTGTTGTATCATGGGAACGGATTTTCCTGTAACCCAACAGTAAAATCAATGAAACTGAGTGGGGGCAAATAACGTTCTAAAGACATTGTTTTCAGATGTGCCTCAGAGCTTCTCTTCCAAAGTTATAGTGACCCCATTTTTCAACAAAAATTAACTCTCTTTATCAGCACAAGTTGCAACATTGTTGTCCTACCTCATCGTGAAGAAGTCCTCCTCCCCAAAGAGGTATCTTCCCTTTCCTATGCTAAACTCACCCAGACCTTATTTTGTTTAATATGAATCTCCAAAACTTTGAAAAAAAAAAGCGCTTGTCTGAAGCCCCCTAGACTAACAATCTCACAGCATCCAACATCTTTCAACTCAGATAGTCTTCATCAACAACCACAAAGTCCCCCAACGCATCATTTGTAACCTCTATGAAACCCCGCCAAAACAAGTTCCTCCTCCCATGCTTTCTTTGTTATTATTCATGGAGCAAGATTTAGAATAAGTAACCCATGCTTCATGCATGGTGCTTTATCAAGTTTCGGAGGAAAAAGAAACATGCTTCATAACTAAGCAAAATAATTTTATGGGAATTTTATTATAAAAAAGAGTTCTTCTATTAGCTAGAATCAATGAATCGAGAAGAAATCATAGATGATAGACATGATCAAGCTAGATAGCATAAAGCTCATCTATCCTGGGAAGTTAACACATGGCATGTCCGACAAGTCCCCTTGTTTGATATATAGATTGAGCATATCGATCACCTCTTTGAATCAAACAAGACAGACAACCACACATCGTATACATGACAACATAGGGTATCCATGAAAATTGCCCTTTTCATTCTTAAATTTGATTAAGCATTCTTCATCTCAAACCATTGCACCAGTTGATACTGCTCAGGCGATGTCAGAGACAAAGGCAACTCTCGTTAAGAGAGCACTAGGTTCTTCCAAACATGGATTTTTAAACGAATTGGTTAGTCATGATTACCAAAAATAACAGTTGTAAGACTAGCTAGCCGGAGATGGAATAGAAGGAAAAGCATTGGACGAGATGGAATAGAAGGAAAAAAACTTTTTCATTCTCTATGAAGAAACAGAGAAGGAAGAAGGTTGAAACTTGAAAGAAAAAGGGACAACGAGGTTTTTGTTGTTCGATTAGGATAAAATTATTAAATGACGCCTAGGGGTAATTTTGTAACTATTGATGTTTTTGTACGTGAAGCCAAGAAAACCAATTTTGTACGTGAAGCCAAGAAAACCAATTTTCATTGGTTCATTCTGCACGCTTGGCTCTTGGACCAAAACAATACTTTCTATCGTTGCTTTTGTTGAATTTTAAATCAAAGTGGTTTGCTTTTATTATTCCATCTTAAAATACAATGGAATTTGGCTTTAATCGAACAGTTTAGATTTAAATTTAAAATAATAATATCTGAATCGGATCAAATCTAGACAAACACAAATTCGGTTCGGGCCGACACAATTACACCCTTATTTTAGTTAGTGGGCCCAAATCATCCAAAGTCATTCTGCTTCAGATGACACATGGTGTCGAGGTGTATATAGATTTCAGTGTGGCTACTTAATGTGTCCTCTCCTCTGTATATGTACGACCTTTGTAAGCTGCCTGGAAGTTGCTGCTGCTCTGAATGATTATCCATTTATCCGAGTCCGACGAGACGAGTTACTAATTGGCCAAACGTGACGTGAGGGAGATAGAGGTAATTTGAGGGAAAGGACGAGGATCATTTGGTCATAACCCATTCGACTTGTCTCTGTCTGTTCGTCATTAATTCACAGTTCTACGCTTAGAAGCCAAGTAATGATTTCCTTCAAAGTTCAATCTTCTCTAATTCTCTTGACCCCGGTCTGTTTAAGTAAAAATCGCGAAAGAGACAACCATTTCTCCTTCCTCACTCCAAACATCAATAGAGTGAAAGCAAAAGTCGTAAAGCGTAAAAGCAAAAACGTCAAGACTTGTACTACTCGACAGAGCAGTGATGATGTGTTTAGTCCGGTAGCTTGCTCTTTAAGACGAAGTTTCGTTTCCTGTTTTCTCTGTCCTTGCTCTGAGTCTCTCTTCTCTCCTTCAGGCTTCACCCTCCTTTTCTTTTTCTTTTGTTCCTTGCGCAGGATTCTTGGAGAGAGTCGAGGGACAGAGACAGAGACAGAAACAGAGATGGTGTATGCAGGGCTAATCCACCTCTTTGTTACAGTGTTTCTCTATCACTTCGCGACCTTCATGGTCATTCCGGCCATCACCGACGTCACAATGTCGGCGATTTGCCCGGGAAAAGATGAATGCTCCATCGCCATTTACCTCAGCGGATTCCAACAGGCGGTATGTCTCTGCAACTGTAATCAATTAAAGTAACTTGCCTTTTGTTTTTTCCTTCTATCTTCTTCTCTCTCGCATATCTCATGAACTGGTCGTAGCGAATTTGGTTTCTTACGTTGGTATCACAGTAATTAGCCTAGCTCATGACGCATCGGACTGCTATGTAGTTAGGGTCTTGACCCAGCAACAAGTATTACAATTACAACGTACAAGCTTGCAGAAGTGATTCTTTCTTTTTTTCTTTTTTCTTTTTTTTCTTTTAAATTCTATGTTTAGTTATTTACTCACTCGTTAGAGCTAGAGTTGCAATTTGTTAGTCCGTTGTTTTTGCTTTCTTCTTCTTCCTGATATGACTCCCTGCTCCCAACAAGTTATGGTTATTAATTTGTCCGACCGGCGAACAGAGTCCGGCCATGTCAGTAGGCAGTAGTCATCATCCCTCCGAGAAGGCGTAAGAGTGGAATGTTTGTGGTAGGGCGATGATGTCAAAAGATAAAGTGTGTAACAAATGGGATGAAATGGGCAAATAGGATATGTGTGAATCAGAACCAACAATCAAAAAGTCTTGTAGCTGGGGAAACGGCTTGATTCGAGAAACCTGTCCCCGCGGACATGGTTGTAGCCTTGACGTAACGTCAACCGACTGGCGTGCCGGATCAAGCCAACTTCTTAACCAATATAGGCCTGGTCCTGGCTAGTGTCTATGTGGGTTTCCCTGCACTATGGCAGCTGACGTCGCATACCTAATTAACGGATCACACCTCACACCGACCTCACAGCTCATCCCACCGTCTACTCAGAACATCTCACCATGGATAACATTATACAAGGATGAGCGATTGAAGTGAGGTTGGTGTGAGGAGTGCAGTCTGAGTAGACGACACACTCGTTTTCGCCTTCTATGCAAGTGGGTCGGGTTAGGTGATAAACCCAGACTTATCCAATCCCTATTGGATTTGGGTCGGGCTAGTCTTACGGGTTGGATTCGTGTTGGGGTGTGCCCGTACTAACCTGGCCTGTTGGCGCTGCTGCTTTGAAGATCTAGTTTCATTTAGTCTGATTGGGTCAGGTTTGGGTTGGTATTACTGCAAGTCGGGTTTGAATTCAGGCAAATCCGGTTAAACCCAACCCATTTGACATCCCTATCTCTACTTTTTAATTTGGGTCATATGCTGGAACACCTCTATAGTTTAACGGATTTACTCAAATCCATTGTATCATTTTCCACTATAGTTTCATGGATTTATTTAAACTTATTTTATAGTTTTTTATTTTATTAAACACCCTTTATATAGTTTGCAACCTATTTGTTATTGGACCATTTATTAATAACTATTTATTTTTTTCATATGAAAATAGTAATATAATTACCTAAACTGAGTGGAAAATGTTCAAAGGCATCGATCATCTTAGTTTATTCCAAAAAGTGTTTCTAATGTTTTTTTTTATAAAAAACAAAATTAATTAAATAGAGCCAAATAGAATGGTTGATTGTGTCAAATGGTATTTTTTTATTTTCTTTTTAATTGAATTTATATGAATGAATGTTAGTGTCAGAATTTTTATTTTTCATTTTCAACTAATAAAAGATTGATTAAATAAATTGATTACAAACTATAAGAAATGTTATAAGATAGGTGTTTTAGTAAATGAATCTTTTGAGTTTTGTTTTTTATACTAATCCTGCTGGATCAGTGGCAAATCTGCACGTTTCTATTCTTTAGCTTTTAAAGTTTAAGTAAAGAAAGTGGACAATGCTTTTGAAAAGGGATCAAACGGGCACCATCAATGCAATGTTGGCTGGGTGTGTGTATGTCGGCTCTTTGTCGTATGGACAGTAGGCTACATATTTACCTTTTTGGTATTTGGTGTCATGCACCACTAACCCTCCTCTTGACCCTTTTCTTTCCTTAAAGTGGTGGTTGGGGGATTCTAATACATCAATGAACCATCACTCGATTCCGTATCACTTCTTCAAATGGTTGAACTATGATGTTTTAACATAGTCGTTGGTTATCGGCCAATAATCTGACTTTAAGTCTACAATGAGTTAGAGATCTAACAACTGAACCACCATGGTGTCCGGTATGATCTTTGAAATGATACGTGCAATGGTTAGGGAGATTAGGGGTGTTTTCAGTTTAGTGTCAAGTTGTTTGGCCAATTAAATCGATCTGATCATATTAGGGAGTTGGTTATTCAAAACTAATTGACCATTATTGAAAATCAGTCAACTTGGATTGATTTATTTGAGTTGATTTATCAGTTTGGTTAATCAATCCAAAAGGTTTAAATTAAAAATAAATAAATTTATAATATAAAATATTTTAAATTAGAAAATATAAAAAAAATTCTTAATTTTTTACATTAAAAATTTTAAATTTAAAATATAAAATATTAATATATATTTATAATTAATTTGGGCCAATTTTGATCTACTTACATATAGTCAAATCAAACCAATCCAATCTTAGAATTAACAAAATGACTGAATTAAAGCCAATTAAAAATATTAGAAACTGATGAATTGGGTTAGTTGGTTTTGATCGGTTTGATGTCTAACTCTAAAGAAGACAAATGACACAATATGACATGTGCCATTAAAATATTTTACACAAGTGCTCCGCGCACTTCTCAGTTTGGGGCTCCATCTCCACGGGTTTTTTTTACCCATTCAGACCACGAAGTAGACGCGCTCCATCTCCGTTACGCACGTCTCGTTCACCAATGATGGTTTTTTGTACCCATTCAGACCACGCTCTCCATCTCCATTACGCACGTCTCATTCACCAATGCGGGTTTTTTTGTACCCATTCAGACAACGAAGTAGACGCCCCCTCCCTCCTCTCTCATAGCCAGTATTATCATATTCGGTTCGATCGCCGGTTACCTCTATAGGCTGCACAGTTAATTTAGTCACTGGTTAAACCAGTAAAAGCATAACCCAGAAGGGCTTTTGGTTTGGGTGCTTCCAAACTTGAAACCCTCAAACTTTTTTTACGTTGTTGTGAACATGGTTTTCGAACTGTCGTTGATTTGAATGATCGGATCGTTTGGCCTGAGAACCATCTAAGCAGTCGGTTTTGTTTTACCTTAGATCCAGTCCCTAGTCAAAAATCATTGATTCAGACAATAATCCATTGACTCGTATGATTGAACCATTGACTCGTCAATCAGTTCAATGGTTTTTTATTATTTTTTATTTTTAATATTTTGTCAAAATGAGCCATCCAATCGAACCAAATGGTCGAACCATCGACCCAGAAACTGATAGTTAAAATGCTTTCATTTTCGTGTCATTTTTTAAGCCCATGGTCGTGAATGCCTCTATTATCGGTGGAACCATAAAATTCATTCTACACAAATTGCTTATATTATTGGATCATGTGGATTCTATGATGGTCACTCATGCGCGATGACCCTCAAAATTTGGGATGAATGTTGTTGTGATGCAGATAACAGGGGTGGGGTCGCTCGTCATGATGCCTTTGCTTGGGAACCTCTCCGACGAGTACGGGAGGAAAACTCTGCTCATTCTCCCAATGACTCTCAACGTTGTTCCACTAGGTCTGTACTCTTTCCTTACTGCTGCATATTACTTGTATCGTAAACAGCTTTTCTTTCAAGAAATTCATCAAACACATTTGTGCCGGTGTTTATAAACCAAGACGATCCAAAAAGTTTACTGGCCGTTCAGTAATATACTGGATCACTGGTTTTGACCCACCCCAAATTAAAGGGAAAATTCTCAATTAGTACTATGTATTTTGGGTTTAGTGTTATTTTGGTCCTCAAACTTTAAATTACGATAATTTAATATTCAAATTTTTAAAATGTGTTAATTCAGTATTTATCATTAACCAGTCATTAAGTGGCATTTAAAAAGATACAAATGTCCTTTGAGTGTCATAACTTTCTTTATTAATCATCCAAACGTTGACAAAAAATTAAGATTCTTTTCCAAAATTTCGGTTCGGTTTGGATGAACACTTTAGAAAAGAAGAACATTTAGTGATCACTTTAGAAATATTTTGACAACTATTAAAAGTTGTCTTTAATATTTTTCAATGATAGGCTGGGAGTATTTCAAGTGAAAAATGTTAAAAAGAAAAAAAATGAAAGTACTCATTTAGCATGCTTACAATGCATGCCTACCTGATCCGGGTTCAGCTCTGAGGTCTGACTCAATTTCAATTTTGGATTTAAGTAGATGGGTCCAAACCTAGCACTCTGGCAAAAAAAAAAAAATAGTGATTGTATTTGTAGGTTTTCCCCACGACCACAATCTTCACATCACATATTCTATAGGGGCGATCATCAAAAATGAGAAAATGAAAAATCAAATCGAATAAAAAATTTCAGTTAATCAAACTGGTCGATTTAGTATTTTTGAAAAATCAAAGGTACCAGTTTGATTTTTTTTACTCTATATATATATATAATATTTATTATTTATAATATATATTATATACATCAAAAACTTGAAAAATCATAAACCAAACCAATGAAAAACTGAACTGATCAACCGATTAATCGATTGATTTCGATCGGTTTTGTTCATAGTTTTCCAAAAACTGATGGTAGTGGTTCGGTTACTTTGAGCACCAGTCGATAATAGTAATAAGGTGGATACAGTTTTATTTTATCTAATAATAACAACAAAATGCAATTTTGCAGCTATATTGGCATGCAGCAGGACGAAGAGCTTCTTCTATGCATACTACGTGCTCAAGACACTCACAGCCATGATTTGTGAGGGCAGCGTTCAGTGCCTTTCTTTGGCTTACGTGGTATTATATCTCGACCCCTCTTCACTCCAACCAACATTGGGCCCGTCTAAGTTCTCACTTCATCCAAGCTCAAGAACATGAGCTTGTGTTTTTTAAGTTTTAGCCACGGGCAATTCATTTTATTGGGCTTCATGGTCTGGTACATCCAAGCCCATAACTGCTCTCTAATGACCCATTCAAAATAAGGCTAGATACATAAAGTTGTAGAGCCAGTAGAGGTATATTTACAACCTATCGAAACCGGATTCAGTCAGTATAAAGGCCCGTTTGAGCAGTCTTTATAGCATTGCATTGAGAATATCTCTCATGAAATAAAGCACATAAGCATGGAGATATCCCCAATGCAAGGCTGTAAAGACTGTTAGAGCGGAGCCCGGATCTGCCCCTTATAGAGCGTGCTTCACATTGATCTTACAGCATATCTTGGCCACATATTGGGAACATCTCCCGTACTTGTATTTATTATTCATAAGGAGATATTTCCAATACAGGGTGGGATGTGACTGTGAGACACGCTCTGTGAGGAGCAGATCCCAATTCGTTCAAACAGGTCCTGCACTGACTGAATTTGATCTCCATCCTATCACTGAAGTACAGGTGCATAAGCCAGAGTGAACTCTGAATTGACAAACATATCAGGTTGGGTTGGTTCACAGTCAGAATCTAAAATATCAAAATTCCTGGGTTCAGACTTGAAATGGTCTATTCCCAATTTCCCTTGGTTCGACAGGAATTAGAATAGACATTGGAATCAGTTAGAATAGGATTTGATTTTCAAAGGAGGGGGAGGAAATGAGCATTCCTTCAAATAAATAGGGGAATGCTATTAACGGATTCCAATTCTGCCCAACCAAACAGTTAGAATTGAAAATAGTTTATTCGGATTCTGATTTAAAACTCCTATTCCCATGAACCAAACGGGCCCTAAGTTGGTAGGTTATCTGTTTATTCATAGCAAAGATTAAGGCCCCGTTTGGTGCATCTTTCCGTGTGGTCTTTTGGCTGCTTACAAGCCAGGAAGACCGAAAATCGGTCAATTCCCGTTTGGCACACGGAAGATATCGCCGTCAAAAGACAGGGTGCCAAAAAGACGTGGGAAGTCCATTTTGGGCTGATTTCGGGAAGCTCCAAATGAAACTTCCCATGTCTTCCGCATTTTAAACCTGAAACGACGCACGGAAAGATACGCGCCTGCCAAATGGTCTTCGGGCTGCCCAGATCTTATGTCAAAAGCTCAATACGTTAGATCTTATGTCAAAAGCTCAATACATCTATTGACTGTCAGAACTACGAGAAGATCTTCTAAAAAAACTTGCCAAACGGGCCCTAAGATTAACTCCGCTGCTACCAAGGTTGGGGGATGGGCTACCCCTGTTGGTTGTTGTCTAGCCCACTAAAAACCCGATATTCGACCCAAGCCGAGCCCAAGGAGGCAACGACTGCTGGAGCTGGACTCGAAATTCGGGTTAACTAAGCCCAAGTCGCTAGAGATTAGAGACCAGCTAAATATTAGCGCTTGCAACGGGTTAACTCAGCCATTTTCTTCTTTCTGTTTTCGCACTTTGCAGGCAGACAATGTTCCACATGGCAAACGAATATCGGCATTCGGAATTCTAGCTGGCACCGGGTCTGCGGCTTTTGTCTGTGGAACTCTAACTTCTCGCTTCCTCTCTACTTCCTCCACATTCCAGGTCTTCCCGCCTTTTTCTTTTCCTTTTCTTTTAATATACATTTTCGAATTCTCTTTCGGAGTTGTTATCACTTACCAGTGAATCGACTCTCAATAGCCTTTTCCGTGGCCTAATATCATTATCATTACTGTGTTTCAGGTTTCTGCGTCTGTAGCGGTGCTCGCAGCTATGTACATGAAAGCTTTCCTCAAGGAATCGACCTGTGAAGATTTGGAGAATATGAAGCAAGATGTCTCTCAAAAGACCCCTCTTGTTACTTGTTCCAATGGAGAAGATTCCTCAAGCAAAATCTTTAAAACGATTCCCTCGATCGAAGATATGATTTGTTTATTGAAGAGTAGGTATGTATGTTAATTTTGTTTTAATTCACCTTTTCTTTTTGCAAAGATGCAATCTTACTTATAAACAATCACCTAATCAGCGACTCTGGAATTGATGAGGAATATGGGAGGAAGTATTGTTATTTATGTAAAAAAGAGAATTGATCCTTCATTTTACATTAGTGGAAGGCTGGAAGCCCCAGAGTTCTGGAGCCCAATTGGTATCTTATCGTCACAATCCACTCAGCAAACCTCTGTCATTTGCTTTCCAAAATGCCTGATTAGATACACGTTTGATAGACCTGAAGAGCACATAGATGGCTGTTGCGTCATTCATTTGGTTGACCTAAAATATTGACTAAAAACTCGGACATGGCTTAGTTGAGTTGACCTAAAGCATTGACTAAAATTTCTTCTGTTCAATGTTTATCAGTAGTTTGTAGGTACTCTGTCTATTCTTATATTCTAAATCCAATAGCCAGGTGTATTAGAATTCATTTTGCAAATCTTCTTTAAAGCAATGATTCTTTCTTTTATTGTTTCTTCCATCTAAACTGTTTTGATAAGATTACCGAGAATTTGTTGTGCAGCTTGACATTCTCACAAGCAGCAATTATCGCATTTTTCACCAGTCTTGCAGAGGGTGGCCTTTATACTTCACTATTGGTATTTTTCTCCCTCCATTAATCATTACTTGAGATCCAATTGTATGATGCATGGAGAAATTGTTTCTATGGCAGATATTATTCACTATGTATTAATTTTGAGATGTTCATACACAAGATAGAATAAATAAGAGAATATTAGAAGAAAGGAAAAGATTAGTCTTATTTGGAATGGGTGATGCAATAGTATTACACAAGCTAGTGTACATGAGATTGTCTTTAGTTTAGTCTTGCAAACGTTCTCTTATAAGCCACTTTAAACATTAGCTAGTTGATCTATGGACCCAATATATGATCTAGTAATCTCATTCATACACTCGGTTGATAACAGAAAATGACGAAGAGTTTTTAGTTGACACAACGTACTCCAACAAGAAAATTCTTCCTATAATCTTATCCATTGGTCTCACCACTTCAGACACTATTCCTCTCTTCTCCTCCCTCCCTCCCTCCCCTTCAATAGAGGCCCTGCAATGGCTAGAGATCAGTAATCACCAAAATACCCATTCTAACCTTGTTAGATCATGGGTGGCTATTCCCATTTGATGAAAGCAACACACCTTTAGCCCAAGAAGCAACAGGATGGCTCCATCAAATGTGCTTGTTACAATGAATTTGGTTAACTTTCCATTGTCATTTTTGTGGCCCACAGCAGGAATGATTAACATTTTATTAGGAATAACTTCATCTTTAGATTCGAAGTCAGACTTAAAAAAAATAAATGGAGAAGAATGAAAGTTTAGTTTGCATAAATTACCTTACTCCACCAATTTCAAACAACAGATTCCTATACCAAGTTCTACTTTACAAGGCTAGACCTAACCCTGCACCCTATGTTTCCCTTTGGGGGTGTTCTACAACATCAATGTTTTTGCTTTCATTTGTTTTGGAATTGCCACATCAGAAGAAAAGCAAAAATACATTCTTGAATTGTATTTTTGTTTTTAAAAGAAAAAAATGAGTTGGTTTTGTTTCGAAAAAACAATACATGTTTTTTAAATAAAGTTCGAGAATATGAGTTGTTTTTTAGAATGAAAGAAAAATTTGTTATAGAAATTATATGATATTATTTATAGAATATGATATTAAATAACCAGATGAAAAGCATGTGCTTTAAACCAAAAATTCAAGAACATGCTTTTGGTTTCAGTTTGTTTTTGGAACTCGTAACAAGAAAAACAATTCACATTGGATGAGACTCCCTTAATGAATGGAAAAACTACCACAGAAATGTATCATGTTTGGTATTGGTGAAATAGATTGATTATTAAAGTTGTCATTTCATATTAATAGGGTTATTACTTATGAGAAATGAACCAAATTATTGTCAGTCAAGCCTTGGCTTCCAATATTCAAGTGCAGAAAAATGTGAAGAATAAATTTTCTTTGAGAAGTGAAGGCCTCTGCTTTTGATATCAAATATCTTCCATAGGTGGAACTATAAAATACCACCTTGCCGTGGTCTTTCAAATAAAAACTATATAGCCACTTATGAAATTTGAGTGTTGTCTTAATGTGGGTATACATATTCAAGTCATGCTAGTGATCTGGGAAATAGAAATTTGAATTTATTGGAGCAAACTCAAGAAATTCATTGACCAAAACGTACGCTGTAAAAATTCAGTTGGTGTCTTACATTGTTAAATGAGTCTTACAGATTAATAGATAAATTATATCGTCTCTCTAAAATAAACATTCAGAATTTTTTGTGATTAATTATTCACTTTTATTATTGCCTTGGGCAGTACTATTTGAAGGCATCATTTCACTTCAGCAAAGATCAGTTTGCTGATCTAATGCTAATAGTGGGGATTGCAGGGGCATTCTCACAGGTAATTTTACATAGTTTGTGTGTTTATGTGTACTATTCATGAAATATTCTAGCTGGCAATTGATGCAGCTAAAATTGAGTCACTCTGCAGCTGGTTCTCATGCCCACATTGGCACCTGCTATCGGGGAGGAGAAGCTTCTAGCCATTGGGCTCTTTGCAAGTTGCACACATGTGAGTAATTAGGTGATTAGTTATTCAGTTCTGATACTTCTTTATACTTCATGGTCTTCTTTGGTTCTTTGCTGTTTTCAGCTGATCCTTTATATTTTAAACTTGGACTTACTGATCCATGGAATGGAATGTTGCAGATGTTTCTTTATGGAATATCATGGTCCTCTTGGGTACTTCCTCCTCCTCCCCCACCTCTCCTAATCATAAGTTATTACCATAAAATTTAAATTCCTTGTATTTTGATAATCTGTTTTATCTTTGTTTCCATGGTAGAAGAGTTTTTTCTTCTTCTTTATAGTGGCCATGTTTTTGTTCCGCTAGTTATTCTGATACTTTCTTAACTAGCTTCATTCAAACCATATTTCTTAGTTGACATGTCAAAAACTTGCAGGTTCCTTATGTTTCAGCCATGTTCTCTGTTTTGGGTGTTCTTGCAAACCCCTGTGTGAGTGCTTTACCATGTTAACTTGTTTTAATTTCTGAATAGTTGAATTAGGAATTAGTTTTTCTTATGCAAAGTTCCTATGTTGTGCAGATCAGGAGCATTGCATCTAAGCAAGTTGGGCCCAATGAGCAGGTAACTTTTCTACAAAATGTAATGGTTGGTGCATTTTCTTTTGATTGTACATTGGAGTGTGACTGCTGAAAGTTTGTTCCTACAATTTTTAATCTCTAAATTATAGAACAAAGCTTTTAGCCATTTACAATTTTACAATCCCACAATGTATGCTCAAATTTCTTTAAAAATAATACTGTGTACAGCATAACAGTGAAGAGCCAATTTCCTTCTCAAGAAAACTAATTCTCGTCCTATGCTAGCTTATATAATTGAATCAAATTTCTCATTGCAGGGGAAGGCTCAAGGGTGCATCTCAGGCATAAGTTCTTTTGCCAATGTTGTTTCTCCATTAGCTTTCACTCCTCTAACAGGTAGTAGGAAAGTCGTTTTACAACTTCGTATGATCTAAAATTTGATTATATAATAATTATGTTTATTCTATTCTTGCAGCTTTGTTCCTGTCAGAAAATGCCCCTTTTCATTTCCCAGGTTTCAGTATTGTGTGCATTGGGTTTGCAATGGTAAGCCCTTCTAAGTTGGTACAGTATTTTGAGTTTAATAGCTTGCTTATGACCATTACATGAATAATTTGTTTCTTTTCCCCTAAACTGGACCAGAAGCCTCACTCTATATTATTTGAGCCTAATTAAAATTCTTGTAATCAAGTTGGCTGGGAGATTTTTCTTTTAATGCTCTTACCCATACTTTTTGTGATATGTTATTACCATACTCATGGACATATTTTTACATAGGCCATTTTCTTCCCATGCAGATGGTAGCCTTCATACAGAGTATTATGATTAGGGCTCCTACTGCAAGCCACAAAATCAGCAGCAACAGCCTCTGTTAAGGCCTAATCTTTTAAGATGAGAATGCCTATAAAGTACAGAAGATCCATCTGTGGCCTTTAACATTACTCCTGGAGTAGCCATTGCAACCTCAACGCCTTTAAGCACAGGAAAAAAAAAAAGCTGAGACTGGTTGCTGATCATCTTGATTCAAGCAGTCATCAGACAGCTTAAGATTTCATGCCTGTCATTCATAGAATTTTGACTGCATTTGGTGGTTAGAATCTTTCCAGTTGGGTGCCAAGTGCAAGTTGAAGTCGCATTACAGGAATCCATGACTTTGACTTTGAACCCCGAAAACATACTAATGCTCTCTCTCTCTCTGGCCTGTATATAATCTGGCTTGTAAATGCCCATTCTTATATGCTTATAATCTAATCCTAGTATTTTGTTATCATATTATTGGCATGTGTTTGGCGCAATAAGAGGCTTCCACAAACTGAATCAGGATTTTCTCTTCACAGAGCGCTCCTCAACCAACCTCACAGCACGTCCTAATAACATACAAGTATGTGAGATGTTCCTGATTTACGGTTAGGGCATACTGGTTGGTCTGAGGAGCATATCCGGACTCCCACAACCCATATGGGTGGGGACAGGGCAGGGTGCACATGAGACCCACTGGCTATGCTATACCATGTAGAGCCTGCTGCTCTGTGGGCATGATTCCACGCCGCCTATTTTTGGAGGGATGTAGACTGACCATCTCAACTACTAGATCATCTTTCATTGGCCACCTAAAAATATTTGAAACAGTAAAAGCATGCTTAGCAATGAGATGAGCTATGTTATTTCTCGGACTTAATTACTAGCAGGAGAGACTTAGGGCTGGTTTCGTTTGTGGGAATTGGGGTCTGGATTCTGGAATCAGAATTGGAATAGGCCATGGTTTTTAAAATCGACTTGGAGACCGAACCAGTCAGGGGTCCAGTTACTGGGTTGAACGGTTCGACCATTCGAACCAAATGCTAGGCTTGTTTTTGACAAAAAAATAAAAATTAAAAATTAAAAAATGGTCAAAACAGTTCGAACGGTTAACCGTCCGATTCAGTGGTTCGCTGACCAAAATCAATGGTTTTGAGGGAAAATTCAGTTTTTGGGGAAAACGGAACCGGTCACCTGACTGGTTCCTGGTTTTTCCGGTCCAGTTTTGAAAACCATGGAATAGGTTATTCCGATTCCAACTGTTTGGTTGGGAAGAATTAGAATCTCATTTTTCTTTCCTGGTGGAATGACATTTCCTCGTTTCAGGGAATGGCCACTTCCACTCTCTTGAGAATAAAATCTTATTCCAACTGATTCTGATTCTCATTCTGATTCCTACCTGAGCCGAACAGGCTATGGAAATAAACCATTTCGATTCCAATTCCGACTGAACCAAATGGACTCTTGATATGAGATCTTATGCGTCTGGGAGTATTTGACAGTGTTCCTATCCACCAGCATTAGTTGTGTCATCAAAATTGATTTTAAAGAAACCCTACCTAGGTCTCATCCACCGAGCAATGTAAGTGGTTTCCCGCACTTCATGATAACTGGGAGAAGAACCTCCTGACTCCTGAAGAACTCTGCTAACATCTTGGATCAAAGCATGACTACATGAGCTGAGTTAACAAATGCCACATTAGACAAGCACATTTAGCAAAAGCCAACTGAGGCATTATTCGAAACTCTCATCGAACAACGATCATCAACTTTGACCAGAAAGAAAAGCAACCCAGAATTGTCCATTGTGGATGGCTATCCACTCTTAAGATCGTCATATAACCAAACCAATCTAGAAAACAAGCTAGAAATCAAGCAGTTGAAGAACAAATGCTCCATAGTCCTAACGAGAGAGAGAAAGAGCACAGCACAAGTTAGGTCCATTTTAGTAGAAAAACGGGCTAACCCACTAGGAGGGAATTTGTGATATGATGCCATAAAAGAGATGTCTCGAGAGCACTTTGTTGGCGTTGGTTCTCCTTATTGGTTTAGTAGATGTTTCTTGGTGGGTTGTCGCTTGTTTTTGTTTGATTTCCTGGTTTTTGCCTGTGGCAGGCAACCATCTCAGGGTCTTTGTTTGATTTGTGGTCAGAATTTGAATCGGAATTGGAATGGTATATTCTCAGAGTCTTGGTTCAAATAAGAATTAGAATAAGCTGGAACGGGACTTCATTCCCAAGGGAGGGGGGAAAATGACCATTCTATCAGGAATGAAAATGGCATTCCAATTTTGCCCTACCAAACAGTTGGAATCGGAATGGCCCATTATGATTTTGATTCCAAACCCCTATCCCAAACAATCCAAACGACAAGTATCAAGAGAGAAATATCTATGTAGCTCCTCAACATTCCACGTGCGATTCACCCAATCGATTAAAGCAGCAACTTTGATACGAGATGAAATCAGTCCCCCACAACATCCCACAGCACATCCCCGCCATGTATTGAGAATATTTCCTGATGCTAATACCAAAAATGATGATGTCATCATCAGGAGATGTTCCCAAAACACGGCGAAAATGTGTTGTGGGACATTGTGGGGGGCAATCTTGTGAGGGGCTGATTTGAACTCCTTTGATACCTGTAGGCACATCTGTAATAAGAGGGTTCAAAATTATATGCATGTTACAAGGGGTGTCAATTGGACTGGATTTGGTCCAACCCAATCTGGTCCACTATGAGTCAATTACAAATGGATGAATAATTTGGATTATTGGATCAATCCAATTCAATGTCTGGACCATCTAATCTCTTCAAATTGGTTTTAATTTAGATGGGTTCCAATTCAAATCTGGTCATTTGACACCGCATTCTTATATTCTATCAATGGACCGATATTGATTCAATCCAACTCAACCCAATATAAATCCATCATGGATGGATCAAGTCCAATCTAAATTCAATCCAATAAATATATTGGACCACTCTGAACTGATCCAATTCAATGTCTTATTGGTCCATCCAATCCATCCAAACTGACTTTGACTTAAAATTCAACCCAAAACTAATCCATTGACACCCCTAATTACAATCCATGGATGCTCAAATATCTTGACCTCAGCACCTTGTTTGCAAAACAGGTCCATAAAGCCAACATGCTAGCCCACGTAATCCCACAGATCATATTAATTTTGGCCAACCAAATAGATATTCTATGTGCTAAATATTTCGAGACCAACAACTGAGCCCATAGTTCACAGGCTTTGTGGAAAAGACAAAATAAACGCCACAATTTGACAATCAACACTTCTTGATTTTTGAGGTTAATATCCATGAATGAAGAAACCAAGATCCCTCTTATCCGTGGCCCCACCAGAAACCTCTCGAAAGAAAGTTAATTGATTCGATAAGCATGTTGTGAAATAATAGAAATTGATAAAATAAAAAAAAGGGAATGGATTCCATCACATTCTTCACCAATATACTCCTGCCAGCTTGAAAAAGCAATTTATTCTTCCAGTTTTGATTCTTTTGAATCCTCAACTTTATTTCTCAATAATGCCCTTGCAATTGTCTGTACTTCAATTGATTTGCCTTCATATAATTTAGGGCCCATTTGGTCTACAAGAATAGAAGTCTAGAATCAGAATCAAAATGACTATTCTAATTCCAATTGTTTGGTTGGATGAAATCGAAATTTCATTCCCATTTTTGGTGGAATAACAATCTTCCATTTGACTTCCTGTCCAATGATAATGAAATATTATTCCAACTGATTYCGATTCTCATTTTAATTTCTGTCTGAACCAAACAATTTATGAGAATAGACTATTTTGATTTAATTCCAATTCTGATTCCAATTGTGAACCAAATGGATCCTTAGTATCATCTAAATAAGTAATCAGAATCAAAATGACTATTCTAATTCCAATTGTTTGGTTGGATGGAATCGAAATCTCATTCCTATTTTTGGTGGAATAACAATCTTCCATTTGACTTCCTGTCCAATGATAATGAAATTTTATTCCAACTGATTTCGATTCTCATTTTAATTTCTGTCTGAACCAAACAATTTATGAGAATAGACTATTTTGATTTAATTCCAATTCTGATTCCGATTGTGAACCAAATGGATCCTTAGTATCATCTAAATAAGTATGGGGAGAGAGGGGAACTTTGCCCGAGACCCTATTGAGGAGAGATATGAGTGCCAAAGCAGCCATTAAGAATAAGTGGGATAGATATGCAATTAAATATGAGAATGCAAAAACCATGAGAGAAACCTCTTAACTAAGAAACTTAGAGCAAGGAGTATTGATCCATCTGTCATAAGCTTTAAACAAATCAATCTCGAGAAGAAAATCACCTTACTTTTCATTTTCTTTTTGAGGGAATGAACCACTTCCAAGGCAATAATTCTATTATCTATAATTGAGGATAAAGGTATTTTTTTGTAAAGGAGAAATCAATCATGGCAGATTTTCTTTTAAGTCTTTGAGAGAGAAAGTAATAATCTTGTAAATCATATTGATAAGTCCAATAGAGAGTAAATCTGACACCATCTCAGTCTCAGAGAAGATTATTAGTTTCATTGAGTTGCCCAATCAAAGCAATGAGCTCACATTATTAAAAAGAGATGAAATTCCATCTGGGCCCAGGGCCTTGAGAGGCCCAATATAAAATAGGGCATCTCTCACTGCTTCCATGATTGAGGGAGCACATAACATCTGATTCTCCTATATGATGGGGGGTTTTTAATGAGGTTTTTGAAAGAAATCCGGAAGATAATCATTTCGTTTTTGGTTCTTTTTTTAATAGAATCTGATCCTGCCCAAGTTTATCACCTTGGAACTGAGATAAGATTTCCGCATTAACGCCGATTAAAACCTAAAATAAGGCCATTTTAATTACGGGTTGAGAACACGTTCAATCACATCACTCTTAGGCTCCTTTCGTTTTTTGGTAAGTTATTTATTCGGGTAAATGTATTTATTCATGTTCTTTTATTTCTCATATAAATATTGTAATGATCATTTTAATCATAAAAACACATTATTAAAAATGTCATTTTTGTCCCATTCAAGTGTTGGCAACTTTCTCCCTAGGTGGGAAAGTTATTTACCCACCTAGGAGATGGGTAAGTGATACCTAGAAAAATAAACTTTTCTTGGTCCCCACATAAATTTGAAAAAAGCAACATTTTAAAAAATGATCCGCAAATAGAACCGTTCTGGCCACCGGTTTCTAGGTTGATGGTCTAACTCTCGGGTTCAAATGGACTATCCATTTTGACAAACAAATTAAAAAATAAAAAACGGTCAAAACCGTTGAATAGGTCAACACAGGTCAATGGTTCAACTGCCTAAGTCAATGGGTTATTAACTTTTTCAATGGTTTTTTACTAAATACCAAATTTGGGATAAAACGGAACCGGTTGCCTGAATGGTTCCCGAGCTAAATAGTTCAATCGTCCA